ACGGCAAGCCAGAAGAAACAGTGAATATGAAACTCTGTGGGCATGAACTAGTAAGATGTGAGGGGGAGCAGTAATAATGGTGGCTCACTTCCATTACAAAAATGGGAAAACAGGAAGAAGACTCAGTGTTGGGAAGTATTTTCTGAATGTAACGAAAACTAGAACAAATCATACATGTTGAAGAAGCCCTGCGGACATTCCCATAAAGAACTGTATACACAGGCGTGGAGGCAGAGGATGTGAGGTACACTCTTTCCAATATACGCACACACGTGTGCACACACATAGCACATGAAGCCACAAAAAACTAAGAAGAGCTCTTCAAGGCACGTGTTGCAGAGAAGACACCTAAGTAAAATTTAAGTTGGTTTTGGGTATGTTACATTTACTTTCTGACCAAAACAGAAAAAAAAAAGAAACTCACTTCCATGAGTCAATTGTGACCCACAGTGACCCCTTTGAGTTTCCAAGGTGGTAAATCTTTACTTAAGTAGATTACCCAGTCTTCCTTCTTCAGAGTGGCTGGTGGGTTTGAACCTCCCACCTTAGCTCCTTTCTGACCAAAGTAGACTTCAAACAATCCAGGGACCTACAAGTCACTCTCTTTTTAAAACATGTACACTGGAGTCGTTATTTTATTTGGTTTTAAGACAGTCTTGGCCTTCCTACCTCCACTCCATTTACTCTAAGAGGCTCAGCTCTGTCGTTATGTTACACTCATCTTTTCAGACTTTGCAACACCTTCTCCAAGTTTTCAATGTCTCTCAAGATTGAACTAGATCTTGAATTCAAAATTAGAGGTGTGGCTGTTGTACTTAAGAAGTATAAAATAAAATTAGGTTCTAAGTACCACAGGAGCCCACTAGTAGGCTGGTCGGAGCTCTGGTAGCATAGTGCCTAAGGCACTTGACTACTAACCAGAAAGCTGGTGGTTCAAACCCACTAGCCACTCCTTGGAAGGAAGGTTGGGCAATCTACTTCCACAGTGATACTGTCTCAGAAATCCAAGGAAGGGTTGGTTGCTATGAGTTGGGTCTGACTCGATGGCAAATAACAACAGTAGGTTAGTCAATCAACAAATAATTTAGTGTATTTACCATGTGTTAGGTACCATCCCCATTCTGAAAACCCTGCTTTATAAAAACATCAGTACAACAGACAAAACTTTCTAAATTGTGAGCAGCCTGCAGCCCATATACCTGAGATCTTTGTTTTTGCTGCTTTCACATGCCACATCCCCTAAAACAACTATTACTATGATTTTAATAGAACAGTTTTCCACTATCCGTGTAAGTTTCATGTACGTAGTAAGTGAGGGAAAAAGTCTATTTTCAGCTTATGCTGAAGTTAAAACTATGCTGGCACTCCAAATGCATATTAAGCAGAACCTTGTTAATTCACCTGAACAGACCAAAGGACCCAAGGTGGATTATCAAATAAATGCTACTTTACTCATTAGTCTGGTACATGGATTTAATTAGTTTTTTGATAATATCTAACAATTCATTTTGTAAAAATAATTAGGACAGAGATGCACAACTGTTGTTTTAAAGTCTTTCTGGAGAAATGTGGTTAGAGGCAGGATAGGCCTTTAGTTGATTTATTAAGTTTTATGTTTTGCACAAATTTTGTTTTATGTTTTGAACAACAAAAAGTGTTTTGCAGAAGACAAAGTGTCACACCTCTATACCTTACAACACAAAAGTCATAATAGGTATAAACATTTCTGCTCTAAGAGCTGTATTAACAGTAATGTGTAAATATATGAGCATATATATATATATATATATATATATATATATATATAATCTTTCTGCTCCATTACATAAAGACATACCATTCACAAAAAACCTGGAATCCAATTTACTCAATCTAATCTTCTTGGGTCATTCCTGCCCTCTAAAACGTGTTGTGCCTTCCATAGCTTAAGTTGAGAAACTGGTAATACTCAGGGGCAGAGCTGAAAGGAAGCTGCTGGAATTTGCTGAACAGCCACCAAATAATCATGGTGCTGAACATGTATTATCTTAATCTAGTCTCACACCCTCCTCATCAGTAGGCACTATCTCTGAAGCTCACAAAGCTAAGAAACTGTGCTCAAAGTCCACTTCCTGGTTGTTAATCAGCAAAGTCAAAATTTAAGCTTCAATTTGTCATACTCCCAAGCCCATATTCTGTCAACCACACCAAGCTCTTTTTGCGATTCCCTGTGAAGTATGATTTGCCAACTGCATTAGATGCAGCTCCATCATTTCCAGGAGCAAAATTTCCCAATAATCCTTCAATCCATCCACACTCCCCCTAAGAATCTCTAAGATTCTATAATGTCAAATGGGAGGAATCCAGCTCAAAGCTCAGAAGCACCACCACATGAGTCAGATCAGCCAGGATACCTCAGTGCTTCACCTGGTCCCAACCTCCAAAAGCAGAGGGTCACTGCTTCTTCCGACTCAGCTAACATACTTTTGGAGTTCCTGGGTGGCAGAAACTGTTAACATGCTAAGCTGTTAACTGGAAGGTTGGAAGTTCAAGTTCACCTCCAGAGGCACCCCTGAAGAAAAACACCTTGCAATCTACTTTTGAAAAGTCAGCCATGGAAACCCTGTGGAGTACAGTGCAACTCTGACACACACAGGGGTGAGTCAGAGTGGATGACAGAATTTAAAAAAAAAAAAAAAAACTTTCATTTTTTTTCTCAGGGCAGCTGCTGAGGCAGGCAGCACCACACCTCCTCTGCTCTAGTGGTTGTATCATAGCGCTGGTTAGAGATGCTGGTTAAATGAGTAAGTGGTAATTATGCCATCACTAAAAATAGAAGGTATCTCTTCCTTAAAGAACCTTTCTACTTCCCCCTACACAAGTTCATACGGACCTCAGAGGTGTTCAAGTTATTTGGTTAATCTTCTGACCTTGTTCTTTAGTCACTTCTTGAAATAGATGAAATTTTTTCACCCTCAAATATCTGAGAGTACTTGGTCAACAAGACTTGTCAGTCAGTCAACAACTATTTGCAGAACATGTTCTGCACAGGTACACAGAATTTTGTGGTAATTGATGTTTATACCTTCAACTCTCAAGGAACTCAAAGTCTAATTTGCCTTGTCTCCCTTATTAATCATTCAAATATTTACTGAGCAACTTGGCTATGGAGGCAGCATTGTGTTTGATGCCATGGGGAAGTTTACAATAGTCTGGAGAGCTCAGCTACAGAAGGAAGAACCAAGAGTCTGATGAATCAGATCAAACTGAAGAAAAGATAAGCCTATACAACACTTGGGAGCTCTGGTAGCATAGTGGCTAAGGCACTTGACTGCTAACCAGAAGGCTGGCAGTTCAAACCCACCAGCCACTCCTTGGAAGGAAGATGGGGCAATCTACTTCCGTAGTGATACTGCCTCGCAAACCCAAGGAGGGGTCGCTCGCTATGAGTCGGGTCTGACTCGACGGCATATAATACCACCAACAACATACAACACTTGGGGTAGAGGCAACATGAGCAGAAAAAGAAGACACATAGGAAACAAAACAGTGGGGTGGCAACTAAGTGTCTAAGCATGTAGTAGTCAATTAGCAAGCCATGGAAGGTCAGAGAAGGGGCAGACTGGGACATATTCATTCATTCACTCATTCATTAAGTACCAATTATGAACCAGGTACAGTTCTAGGCACTGGAGCCACTGTGAACAGCAAAAACTTACTCTCTTCTATCTTGGAACTCCTATTCAACTGGGGAGATGCAGACCATGGCTATGCATGAGTATCAAAAAGGTAGGAAGAACGGGGGGGAGAGGGGTTGGGATGCTACTTTCGATAGGGGTGGCAAGGTAGAACAGTGGTAAGATGATATCGTAGCAGAAACCTGAAGTGAAACAGTAAGCCACTGAAGAAGTGATGCAAGGAGCATGATCAGTAAGAGCAAATGCCCTGAGGCAGGCAAGGGAAGCCTCCAGGAGAAGGGGGGCGTGAGCTGCTACTGAGGGTCAACTCATCAAATCTGTACGGCAGAGAGCAGGCAAGAAAGCACTGGAGACTAGGGAGGCAGCATGTGCACAGCACGGGGATGATGGAGAACACACGATGCAGAGTGAGGAGAATAAAATCCAAAAACACAACCAAATCCACTGGGTTCGAGCTGACTCTGACTCATGGTGAGCTTTCCCTATGGGTTTTCTGGGCTATCATCTTTACAGAAGCAGATCTGCAGGTCTTTCTTGCAGGTTAAATAAACACATATGACTGAAAAAAGATAAGGAGGGTCTGTAGTGGATACTTCTCAAAAGAGAAAGTGGAAAAGCAAGCTGGGATTTTAAAGGAAGGGTGAGCATTATTCCATACTTGTCTTTGTATCTGGGAAGATCAAGCCAATTAGCAGAGAGAACTGAGTAGTAATGAAAACACGCACTGGACTGAAATGAAGGTTGTGGGATGAGATATGGGGGGGAATTAGAATGTGCAAGTAGGGTCTGAACAATTGGTGTGCTGTGCTCTGCCTTTCATAATTCAAGGGGGTGTGAACACAGAGACTCCAAATACTACGCTCAAGGTGCAAGAAGGCAACTGAGTAAATAGAACCCAGTAAAAAGACCATTCATTTCTTTTTTCTTTTCAACATTTGAAGTCTTTTCCCACTTGCTCAAATTTTGAGCATCCAGAGGCTTGCACATAATAACCAGACTTTCTGAACAAAAGAACTGCCTTGAAATCAGTGACAGACACAGAGAAGATCTGACCTTCTGGAGACGCTGATGCAAAGCTGTATTTCCATATTAGAAGCTCAGGCTTTTAAACTGTAAATACAAAACCCCCTCACTGCCTCTTTTCCTGTGCAAAGGGGAAGTGAAAAATACTTTGCTAGGATAAGAAATGCAAGCCATGGGACCTCTCCACAATTACCCCATTCCTCTGTGAAAGGCTATTCCTGTCTAGCTGTATTCAAAGTCTAAAGGGCCAGCCAGGAGCAGGGTGTATCACACAATGTCCAAAGACACAAAGGTACTCACGGTTTTCCTCCTGGAATGCCTGTCAGGTTTGGAGGTATCGCTGGCACACGCATGTGATGGTGTGGGTCAAATCCAACCTAGATTTTTTTCCCAAGCAAAACAACAGAAACAAATTTGGTTACATTAACTCATTTTATCCTCTTCAATGTCTTTTCTAAAACGTGAGAGAATAGATCATTTAAAAAAAAGATTTTTGAGATATTTGTAAGTATTTATTAATAAAATTATATGATGTTTAGGATTTAACGTAACATAATGAAGGGTGGGAAATACATGATAAAACTGTACCAATAATTACTGAAGTTCATGATGCGAACCAAGAAAAAAGGCCAAACCCACTGCCATCAAGTGGACGCTGACGCATGACTACTCTATGTGCAACGGAGGAGAACTGCTCCATATGGCTTCCTTGCCTGTAATCTTTACAGAAGCAGATTGCCAGACCTTTATTTCACAGTGCCTCTGGGTGGGTTTGAACCACCAACCTTCTATTTAGTACTCAAGCACAGAGCATCCAAGAACCTTATGGAGTTCATTATATTCATTGTACTATTTGCTCTACTTATATAAGTTTAAATTTTTTTAAAAAAAGATGGAATATAAAATAAACAAACTACTCATCTTATAAAAGAATCTCATCTTACAAAAGAATGTAGATCTCACAATTTAATTACATGTAGTTTGCTTTCCAAGTACACACAGGTTCCTTCATCAGTAACTCAAGTTCTATAAACAATATCCAAGCAAACCCTGTCCTCTGAGAGATCTTTCTTTCTTAAAAAGCCCGCGCACATACCACGGGTGATCTCCCATATGCAGCAGCGGCAGCTGCAGCGGCCGCAGCGGCACTCATCTGCGGGGAGATGTTGTGCAGCCCAGCATAGGCAGCCCCAGGGCTGGTCAGCTCCCCGTTCATCCCAGCATGTGGCACAATCCCAAACGGCGTTGGGTATGGACATGGTACTGCCATGGGGGTCCTCAGGCTTGAGGCTACAGGCAGAAACGGAAGGAGGAAAGAGAAAGACTAAGAACACAGGAAACATTGAAGTAAGAAATCCTTAAGTGTATTATTATTATTTAAAGAAAAAAAAAAAGACAACTCATGGATCAAATGAACTTGCTTTAATATTTTCAAAAGTCATTCAAGCCTTTATTAGATTCATTCATTTACTTAATTTTATTGAAGATTTATCATGTGCCAGACAGGGATGGTGCTAGATGATTGGTTCAAATTAAATAACGGTTTAACAATTGTTCAATGCAAAGGTCACTAGTACTTTAGTGTACTCTTTTCTTGCTTTAAATTCTTTACAAACATAAGAATAATTAGGGGTGGGAGAAGCATAAACACATAGAAGATACTTTTTCTTACTAACCCAACGGGTCAACTCCTGGTGGCTTTCCTGGTACAGGCCTCAGCCCAGGGGTGGAATTACTGCCCGGGGTTGGTGCATCAGTTCGTGGAGTAGGGGTACTGGACTTTGATACAGGAGTAGTAGATTTTTCATTCTAATAAGAGATATAATTGAATGCACCAGCAATTAGAACATGGTTTTAACAATGATGTCAGACATTAAAAAGACAGACTAAAGAAGGTGAAGCTACAGAGGCAATGAAAAAGTAGGGTAGAGAGTATGGCATTTCTAAAAAACTGGTCTGAGTCAAATGGAGGCTGACAATCATGACCACCTGACTGTGAGTGACCCTGCCTGGGGGCTTTCTTTTCAGACTAAGCGGTGTCTGACTCAAGCTTCTGGTGGATGTAATTCATGTCACAAGAGGCTTCCTGGTTAGCAGATCTCAGTGGAAAAGGTCCAAGCTCAAAAGTCATAGACACTCAGCCCAGAGGAGTTTCCACTAAAAGAAGGCCATAAGGCCAAGAGAGAACAACAGGAAAAAACTTAATCCAGCCGCTTGCCAGACACATCACCCCGATCTGCAGAGACTGAAGAATTTTCTTTGCTTTCAGCTGTGAATTTAAAAAATCATTTGAAAACTGAATTTGTCTTTTAAAAAATGTTATATTATAAGGAAATAACAGGTGAGGAAAAATAAAGACACAGCACACAAAACTGCAATTAACTACCCATAGACAAGAAGGGTGTGTGGGGAGAGAACCCTGTCGTGGAACAGTTCGCTTTTGCATTTGTGATTTGTGGTGTGAGTCAAGGGAGACTTTTGTAAATGACAGATGACTTTTCAGTGAGGAGGGGAAAATTATTGCAGTCATATACGGTTTGGTAATTCACACGAAGCTAACAACAAAATCACATGCAAGCCAAACACTAAATTCACCAGAACCGTAGGTGACAAAACCATCTCTGTAACCCCAGTATTTTTCCATCTTCAACAAAACATGTTTCATTCAATTTCCCCATATCCTCCCTCCATCCATGCAAAAAGTCTCACAAAACAAACAGCCATCACCAAGTTAGTAAATTCATTCTGCTACAAAGATACTTTTGTAATTAAACTTGGATACCTAACATATACATATATTTGGAAATAAAAGTCCTATAGAAAAATGTGAAAAAGAGAAGACAAACATCAAAACCAAACCCAACCATCTTAAAACAGGTCACACTGAAAAAGATTGTACAGAACTGCTTACAAGGCTAAGTTCTTTGGATTTGGAGGAAGGGGTACTGCTGGAAGATGCAATTGAAGCTGGACTAATCGGGGCATCTTTCTTGAGCAGACGTGTCTTGTCCAGGCCATTCTCTCTTGGGGAATGTGCTGGGCTCCCTCGAGGGGAAGATGGGTCCTACAAAGGGAACATCATGGTATAAATGCAGCACAGTGCATTCACAACGCTGGAGTCCTGGGGTGTGGATTCTACCAGCTGAAAACATTTAAAAGCTTAGGAGTGCAAAATGTTCTGGAATACAGACTAAGATTCATTGAATGGTCAAAAAAAAAAAAAAAAAAAAAAAGGTACTGAGATCAAACAAAGTACAATACTTATTTGTTGTTATGTGCCGTCGAGTCAGACCTGACTCATAGCAACCCCTCCTTGGGTTTCCGAGGCAGTATCACTATGGAAGTAGATTGCCCAACCTTCCTTCCGAGGAGTGGCTGGTGGGTCTGAACCGCCAGCCTTCTGGTTAGCGGTCAAGTGCCTGAAGCACTACACCACCAGAGCTCGTTAAATACCCATTTTTAAAACAAATCAAAATTAAAACCCCACAAACTTCAAGACTGCTTGTCAATAAGATCTGTGGGCCGACCACAGATGGTGTGCATTTATAATGGTAACAAAAGATACTTGACATATCACAGAAAAGAACAGCAATTTTAAAAAGCATCATTACAATCGGTTATTTTTTATTCTTTAGGTAAGCAAAAAGTGGGTCCCCTTAGAAATTAAGAGAACATTTTGCACCTAACTTTTTAAACACCAGTTATTATCATAACTGGGGAAGACCATGAAGTTGAACTAGTGATAAACATACCTCATTGGAAACATCAACTACCAAGTTGTCATCACTCTTCTCACCATCGCTGTCCTGTATTGACAATTAAGAAGCATTATTACCTCTCCCAGCCAAAAAAAAAAAAAAAATTACTTTTTTAAGTCAGATTTACCCTAGGTAAGTCCAAACTAATTCCTTATTTCTTATAAAAAAAGGAAAGAATGGACTGCACCAGACAGTGCTAAACACTACAATGTACCATTCTCTTTAATCCTTATAATGACATTATGAGGAAGGTATGAATGTTCTATTTCACAGCCTTAGAAATTGAAGTTTCCTGAGTAAAAGTTGAAAACTGGTACAACAAGGCTAAATCCAAACTACAGAGGGGCATGATTTGGTCTGTCAGTGTTTTAAAAAAACTAAGACCCAACATTTTTAAATTGGAAAAAGTTAATGTGAAAATCCAGATTTCAGCATCTCTAGAAAAATCCTCCAGTTTGGCCACATGGGAGGTCCAGTTGTCCGGCCTGGAACACTGAGTAAGCCAGGCATCGAGTTCTTGCCTCCATCTAATTCCCACCCAGTGATCTAGTTGGCTATTGAAGTAAAATGAGCTTCAAACCAAGTCATGGACATTCTAGAGGTCTCTAAAAGTTGTATTCTTCGGGACATGTGTACATCTATACATTCCAACAAGTCTGCTAGGATTTTACACTTTTCCTTATTAACATTTCTAGCTGACCACAAAAAAAGTAAACCATCTTGAAATGTATGTGGAGAAGCAAATATATCCACAGAAATACTCAACCATGAATATCCAATTTCTGTTAGTTGCTAGATAATAGACTCATTCTCTCTCTCATATACATTGAGCACCTGTCCACACCCACATTAGGCTTCAGTTAGCCAATGGAGACATGGCTATACATGTTTTCCTTCTCCTAAGGGAATTTGTTAACCTGTGTTCTTGTTTAGGTTGGCAAGAGTCAAAAGGGAAAATGGTTGCTTGGTAGAAAGCAAGGTAAACTTACATAACGTGCTGCGATTTCTTTTTCTTCAGTTTTCTGCTTTTTGCTGTCAGAGGAATAGTCTGTGGAGTTTCGGTGCTTCTCAGCGCCTCGGAAGCTGGCTGATGGGGATACTGAAGAGCTCTGGAACAGAGGGGGACGTGGGCTTGAGAAATGACCACCCACCGAGCACGGTGACTTTTTAAAACCATCCAGAGACTATTTTCTTTTTGTTCTTTAGTATACATTTGCACAGCTTGAAAAAGAGGAGACAAGAAGGTAAAATGAAGGAGAGAAATTATAGGGAACTATCAAGAGAAAAGGATGAGAAAACAGAAAAAAGAGAAAGTAGAGAGATGGGACAGAGTAGGAAAATAAAGAGGGAAGCAGAGAATAGCTTTAAACCAAAGAACAAAAACAGTTTTGTTGAGGAAAAAACAACAAACAGTTGCCCTTGAGTGGGTTCTGACTCATAGTGACCCCGTGTGTCCGAGGAGAACCGGGCTCCACTGGCGATCAACAGCTGATTTTTCTGAAGTGCACTGCCAAGCCATTCCCCCCCTCTCCCTAGGCTTGTCTGGTGGACTCCAATCTCTAACGACCTTTTGGTTAGCAGCAGGCTCTTAACCGTTTGCACCACGCGGGGACTCATTCAGTTTAAGGAATATGTTTATAATACACTGTCAAAGTATACTTAGGAAGTGGGAAAGAAAGCAGATACAAGAGAAAAGGGGAAGGAAGAAAGGGGTATTATTTTTTTTTTAAGCTTGCTGGCTAATGGGAAGCCAGTATTTCCAGTCTCTGTAGAGTAACTGTGAAAACATTAAAGAGAACTCTTAAAGGCCCAAGTAATCAAAGTCCTTCAGTAGGGCACCAGTACAGAACTCACAAGTGCTAAAACAGCCCAGCTCGGCATTACGAAGGGCTGCTCTTAGAGGGTAGTGGACGGAGTACTTAGAGATAAGATGTCTAAGGAAGCAAGTTCCAGGAAGAACAAAGAATCACCCTAGCCCCCAAACTGTATGAATATATCTTTGCCTGGCATCTAAACTCATTCAGAAAACTGTTCAGTAAAGCTCTTCCTCAATTAGAATTTTATTCATCTCATAAAACCACTTCCTTTTGCTTTTTTTCCTTCATCTTAGTCAGCTGGTAATAATTAATATTTATAAAGCTACACAACATTTACAAGGCCCTTTTAATTAATTACCAGAGGCAGTGTGTTATCTCAAACTCCTGGCCCTATCTTTTACTTCACTGAACCATAATGCCATATTCTCTTTGTGGCTAAACTTTCAAAACCTGTTGTTAGAAGGGCATCAATAGATTTTTCTTCTGTGCCTGGGTGAGTTATCACTACCAAGAGATCACCCCCTAGTGGTCATATGTGGTGACAGTAACTCCACCATCAGCTTTAAAGGTAGGGATGTTGGGTAGAGCCTGAGTTAGGGAAAATGAGAAGGATCAGTAAGTGGAGTTGGACATCTCCAAACTCTTCCCTCCTGGGCCAGTCCCTCTGAAGGTTTTATATGAATACTCTGCAAACTTTAAATACCAAACCCTGTAACTATCTCAACTCAATCACTCAAACCTAAATTCATGGCAAAAAAGATGGCAGGTTCTTCATTCAGTAAGGTCAGGGATTGAGACAAAATGTTAAGAAGCCAAACAACTTTTAAAAGCTGCCTACTTGACTTCTTGAGTTCCAATCCTCATTCCCAAGTCGCATACCCACCTCTCACCTTCCTGTTTTCCCTCCAAATTTGAGAGAGCAGTAGCAGAGTTTAATGTTTCTGCTTCTCACATCAGTACCCTCATGCAATCAGGTTTCCATGAAAATCACTCCAGCAAAACCATGCATGTAAAAATCATCTGTGACCTATTAATGATCGTATTTAAGAACAACCAAACTCAATGCCACAGACTCGGTCCCAACTCACAGCGACCCCTCCTGGGGTTTCCGAGGTGGTATCTATATGGAAGTAGATTGCCCAACCTTCCTTCCAAGGAGTGGCTGGTGGGACCGCCAACCTTCTGGTTAGCAGTCAAATGCCTTAGGCACTACACCACCAGTGCTCCCATTTAAGACCAGAACCCCCTATCTAGTACTCCTCCATAACTTGGTCTATCCCTCATAACTCTAGTACACTTACTTCTGACCACACTTCACAGCCCCTCTTACAAAGGACAGTTTCCCACAATCCATAAGAACCAACATCTGAGTCTGGCTGTTTAAAAATGCCAGCACTCTGCACCCTAAACCCAGAGCTCTGACCTTGTTTTGCAGCACATCCTACATTTGCATTTCATCTGTAGCCTTTTTTCCTGACTTCTGGGAATGCCCCTTCCCCAATAGCTTTCAAATCTTCCTCATCTTTTAAGAATCAACTCTAATGTCACTTTTCAAAGCTCCCTAGGACACTCTGAGGCAGATTAATCCCTTACTCCTCTTCGTTCCCTTAACATTTTGTTCCCTGAATGAGCAGAGAGCACACAAAATATATTTATGGCTATTTATTTACAAGGTCACTTGCGCCTTCACGCTGTGGGTTCCACGAAGGTGGGGCACTCAGCATAGTCAGTGGCGGAGAATAGTCCAGAAACATGCAACACAAATGTCTGCGGACCTCCCCTCTGCATTCCTAAATCTTAGCACCAAGTTCACATGATGCATTATCTTCCAGAGGGCTACTAGGTTGTACAATTCCATGGGAATTCAGAGAATTCAGTTCAGCAGAGTCAGATGTGAGTCGGGGTACCTTGTGGAATTATGTAATATGGCGTCTCAGTCCATTTACTCTAACCTGCTTCCAGATGCCTTCATCTCACTAATGAGATATTTTACAAGAACAAAAAATATTTTAAAAGAAAAAAAAAAAAAAAGTGGGAGGCGGGGCAAGATGGCGGACTAGGCAGAAGGATTGCACAGACCCTCTTCAACAAAGAAAAGGGAAACCAATTAACACAGACACA